TTCAAAGAAAAGTGGCAGAAACCAGTGCACACTGCCCCTGTAGTGTGTGGCAGGTGGAGGGACCCTTTTTGACTCCGGTAGGCAATCAGTCTGTGCACCGAAGCATGAGATCTGCTTCCATTACATAGCTTTGGCTATCTGCAAATGTGTTAATATTCATATCATCATCACCGGCCTCTGTTAAAGCTAGCAACGGCAATCTTTTCTTTAAGTGCAGATCTAAATTCCACAGCTCGATTATATGCTGAATAGTGAAATACTTCCTATAATTTGCTCCAAATGCCGTCCTTAATTTCAGTAGTCTCTCATTCTTATTGTCAGCGAGCTTTAGCTAAAGCGGTCGCCACCCGGATCTGATGGACATGAGAGATCTTACAAACCTGTGTTCCGTTTGAACTGAACAGGAGGGAGGGCAGGTATTGATGATATGGTGGGAAGAAAGATCCCTGCCATTTCATTTCAAAAGATAAATATATTAAAATAAAGCCCTAAGTACATTGTATAGCACTGTCAGAGTAGGCAGTTAGATAATTAACAAAGGAGGGAAGGAGTGGAACAGTCTCCCCCCAGGGTATATGGCATCCTGCCTGTTCTGTGAGGCAGGAAACCTTGCTTTACAGCTCCGGGTCTGGTGGGGAGGTAGGAAATGGCCTTGTTCTGAGGGATCAACACTGGGGTGGGTGGGGGCGGGGGGTTAGGGTGGGGAGCAATTCATCCTACTGAGTGCATGCGCAGTAGGAGCCAAAACCATGGCCACAGAGGGAAGGGGCGCAAGCCTGGGAGAATCTAGGGAAAAAGATGGGAAGGGGAAGAGCACGAGCCCCAGGAAATTCAGGAAAGAGATTGGATGGGGGAGGACACAAACAGACCTGGGAAAGCCAGGACAGAGGCTGGATAATTTGGAAGAAAGTCTGCTCTTTCCCGAACCCAAGGACATACAAAGAAGCCTGGCAAAGAGCCCAGCCCGTGCCCTTCCTTCTCTCTGGCGTACTGTCTGCCTTTTTTCTCCTAAACTCTGAGGGGCTGAGACTTGCAACCAGGGGAGCAGTGGGCAGCAGCAGAGGACTCCCCTTCGCCCTGTAACTTCCTGCCCCGAGTCCACGCAGCCTGGCCTCTAGCTCGCCACGCTCTGCCTCTGCAAGAGTGTCAGATCGCTTTCCGCTCTAGTAAATCTAATGCTTAAAATTTCTCCAATGTGAGTTCCCCTGACACCAGAGAAGAGCCTATTTCCTCTGGTAACAGCAGCACCCACTTACATTGTACCTCTCTATTTAACCCTCCACTCGGTCTTTAAAAATATTTGTTATAAGAGGTTTTATGCTTGTGAAAACATGTAATACTCAAAATTAATAACATTCTATATTTCCTACTTGAACATTCCTTCAGAATTCCTACTTACCATTAAATTCTTCAAAGTTCGGAATACTATGAACCTCACATATATAGGGTATTGTTTCATCATTCATACCTATAACTGTTGTTAACTATTATGTTTTTCTTCTCTAACTATATGGAAGTACTAAAGAATAAGATGATAGGCACCTGCGAACTAAATGAGGACACCACCAATAATCTGCAACAGTTGGGGACCCCTCGGTTATCCCACGCTTCCCTCCTCAACCCAGAGGGGACTGTTGCTCTGAGCCGTGTTGCTGAGTTTCGTGTGTGTGTGTGTGTGTGTGTGTGTGTGTGTGGTATGTGTGCCCCACGCCATCTCTGTCAGGCTCAAGTATCACAGTCATACTTGGCTGTTTTCCTATTTTCATACTCTGGACCAACTTACATGGTATTGGGATTATTTGGTCTCTAAAAGTGATTTTGCTTTTTATGGATAGTATAGTTCTTGGAAAACTTTCAACATTTCAGCAGTAGTTATTGGGTGGGAAACCCAACTTGGAAGGGCTACAAGCTTTAAAGACAAGGAAGAAGCAAGAGATGGAAATTTAGGGTGTGGGAGAAACAAAAGTCGTAAAATCAGATCACAGCAACCCTTCCCACTGCCAAAGTAAGAGATCCATTGATGAACAAACTGACAACGTCCTTCGATTTTACAAAAGCCAGTATCTCCATCACAAGGCCTCCGACCTGTCGTGCTTCCCCACGTACAGTGGGGCTCTCTCTTTCCGAGGGTCATTCACCCTGTGTTCTATCCCCTGTGCCCTTCCATTCCTTTTCCTCTCTTCTAAAATTTAATGGCTGCTTCACTCTCTGCATTGGTATAGACTTCAGATTTGGTTCTGCTGGATTAAGATGTTTATCCTCTGTTTCTTAGTTAGGTTGTAAGTGTGGCTTTATGTGGTATACTTTGTCCTTCTAATTCAGAAATTGTTTTTATTCAGGTGGCCGTCATTATTATATTGGAACCTGGATTCCTATCATTGTCCTTTTTTTCAAAGACCAGTTTATTGAGATTTAACTTACATACAATAAAATTCACCCTTTTAAATATACAGATATAACTCCAAGGCTCCGATCCATTTTCTTTTCCTAGTTTTGGCTTTTGCAGTGCATCATAGAAGTGGATACATATATGCTATGTATGTAGCCTCTTGTCTCTCTTCTTTTACTTAGCATAATGCGTTTGAAATCCATCCGTATTATTTCACCATCCATAATGTCAGAGACAATGACAGAACATATTACAAAAATAATAAAATACTTTAAGCACAGATACAAGGAACTCAGAGAATTCCAAGCAGCAGTTTTTAAAAAGCAAACATCTTTACACATTATATTCAAACCTCTGAAAAACACTTAAAGGGAGTATCATGAAGGAAGGCAGAAAAAGAAAAGATATAAAAACACATTACATACAAAGGAGTAAAGATAAAAGCATTACAATGGACTTATCAGAAATCATGCAGAAGACAAAGGAATGACTCTAAATACTGAAACTGAGAGCTGTCAACTCAGAATTCTCAGTGGAAATATATTTTACATTTGAAGGCAAATACAGATTTTTTTAAACAATTAGGGTGTATAGAATTCCTTGAGAACAGACTGCATTACAAAAAAAGACTATTCTAAGTTCTTGAGAAAGAAAAAATATGATACCAGATAGCAACTTGGAGATATATCAAGAAGTAGAACTCCAGAAATGGTTTAAATGAATGTAAACATAATGCTTTTTAAATTGTTAATTGCTCTAGAAGGCAAATTACTAAATCAAAAATTCTAGCAATACATTTTATGTTTATAGTAAATGTAAAAGAAAAATATGTGATAACAACGAACAAAAAACAGGAACGAGTAATTGGAAACATACTGTTGTAAAGTTTAAAAACTATAAATATGCCTGTATAATATTATTTGAAAGTACACAGTAGTAAATTGAAGCTGTATATTATAAACCCAGTATAAGCATTATAAAAAATTTTAAATATATGTAAAAAATAGGTTAATTAGTAGATAAAATACAATCATAAAAAAATCAATCTAAAGCAGGAAGAAAGGAAAAAAGGAACAAAGAAAGATGGAGCAAATAGAAAACAATAAAAATTTAATTCAGCCAGATAAGTAATTTTATTATGTAAATGACCTAAACACACCTAGTCGTATCGTATTGGATAAAAAAGTAAGAAACAAGCATAGAATTTCTGTAAGAAATTTAAAAAATAAAGACATAGATAGGTTAAAAGTAAAAGAGTGGAAAATGATACCTAATGCCAGCAGTGTCTGAGAATTCTAATTTCTTCACATCTTTGTCAACACTTGGTATTGCCTGTTTTTCAATTTAGCTATTCTGGGGGGTATGTGTTGGCATTACATTGTGCTTTTCTTTTGTATTTTCTTGATGACTAACGAAGAAAATGACTAATGAGCATTTTTTCATAGTTTGTTAGCCTTTGGATATCTTCTTTTGTGAATAATCAGGTAAAGGTGTGTGCACGCATTTTTCATCATGTTATTTTTTTTACTTACTTACTTGAAGTTCTTCATAGCTGTTGTTTATTGTCTGTAATGACCTTTGCTTATAGTGGCTTGTCTTCCTGTGTACTGGGCGATCTTTGATTGTAAACTCTTCATTTGCTCTTAATCTGTGGGAGGCCTCTCACCTAAATAATCTTGAACTTTCCTCCAGAAAGGGTTTTTTTTTTTTTTTTTTTTTGCTTCTGCCAGTATACAGGGAGTAGTGCCACTGACTGGCCCAGGCCCCCTGCTGTCTCTCCTTCAGGACAGGGCTCAGGGCAGGTTCAAGTTGCTCTATGTATACTTTTCACCCTGGGGCTGGCCCAACTGAGTTCGGTTTGTGGGAGCAGCGTCGCTCCTAGTACCTGCTCTCTGGGCAGGCTCGACCTTCTGCCCACCCACACGCTCAGACCCCAGCTCTCCCCCTCTCCAGTCACGGCTTGTGGCCCTTGCTTATGTTTTTTTTGTTTGTTTGTTTTTTGTAAGGAATGTTAGTCCAAATGCCAAAAATGACTGTTGTTTCATCACTATTTTCAACATTAAATGTGGACATAAAATAATTTTTTAGTATATCCAAAGGATTAAAAACTTCACTGGGGAATAGAAACATTGGTATTAATTTCTCACTCTCAAAATATATTTTAATGATATATGTGTATTATCGAGTTAATGTTTAATTTTAGAGCAAGAAGAAATCTCAGAAGTCATGTGTTTTTTTCTGTACTTAAAATTCTCAGGTGAGGCCCAGAGAGACCAGCTGATTCAGCCATGGTTATGTGGCTTGTTAGTAGCCACGGTTTTGTGGCTTGCTAGTGGCCACGACCAGCATGGAGGAGCTGCTCTTTTAATGCCCTTGAAGTGACTGTGTTTGTTATTATTCGGTCTGCCTAGTTTTATTTATGGCAGTATTTCCTCCAAAGTTTTATGTAGCCCTTACAGAATTATAGAGAATTAAAATTTCTTTCCAAATTCTTTAGTGTTAACATGAAATTCTAATGATAGACCTAGAAACCCACCACCGTTCAAGTAACAAAAAATGATTATACATGTTAGTCGCCGAACTAATAGGGTGAATTTTTCATTTAAAACAGACTTAAAAAAGAATTAGAACTTTATAAGGAAGATGACATGCAAAGTGTTTATGAAGCTCTCCAGACAGAAATAGAATTTTTGGAATTGGTAAGCCGTCACTGATCCCTTCACTTCTAATTACCGTTATTTACCTGCTGGGAAGAATGGTTTTAATGCAACAGGTGCCATTAAATGAGTGTTTCCTGCTCACATGGATTTGTACTAAATATAAAAACAGCAGCAACAACCAGAAAAACTAAGGTCAGGAAATAAATCTGTGAAGTATTTTGAGTTCCTGAAGAGCTGGGCGCTACATAAAGCAAGCAACACTCAAAGAGAATATGGTACGATTTCAAACTCAGATTAAAATAATAACTCAGACCTGACCACACAGCATGCCCTTGACGGGAGCTGTTATTAGAGGATTAATGTGCTGAAGGAGTTTAACTATCCGAATGCTAGAAGTGTTTGATAGCCATATATTACACTTTTATTATATTTAATCCTAAAACTTTCTTATTACAGATTTTTATGATCTCAAGAACTTTGGATGCAATTATTGGAAACTTATTTGCAGATTGTGTGGGAGCACTTCCAATTGCTTTTAACCTTCTGCTTTATTTGTTTATGAACCAAACACAACATTTGCCGTGCTCTGTTTTAATTGGAGACCTGTGTAGAGCTGAGTTTAAAGTATATTAAAGTCTAGGTTTCATTTAATATGTTACATTTTACTTCATGTTTATTTTCTGTCAACATTTTTATTTACAAATGCTCCAATAGGTTATGTTAGGATTTATATTTTTATTAAAAATGTTAAAAATAAAATTTAGAAATGCCCAGGGTTGTGTTAAATTTACATAAATTTTATATGATTCCTTTATTAAGGACTTCATGAATTTCGTTTTCCTCATGAGTAATTATTATGTGTGTTCCTTTCAGACGTTGGCACAGAAAGATCTTCAGGAAAACAAGTAACATGTAGAGAATTGATCAGCTACCTGAGATTTGGTCAGAGCATCTTGGAGTTCAATCTTTGTGACAGATACACCAATGATACGCATTACAATAGATTCTTATGGAAAATGTCAGGTCCAGAAGGTTCAAAGTTGTTGGTGTCCAAAATTGGTTCATTAGCACTTTAAAAAATAGTTATTTTTCTTACTACTTGCTGGAACTTTAAGGCTTCTCGCGTGCTTTGATTTTGTTTCTAAGGGAAGAAAAAGGAGTAGTCGCTACTGTGTTCTCAGTCTTATATCCCCCGACCCTTAAGCTGATCTGCACTTTCGAATGTCGTCCAGTCTCGGTTGCAGTTTACCTTGGGTGCAATCAGACGCGCCTAGGAAGAAACACTCAGATTATTGACCCAGTTTTGTTGGAGCCATTTCCACGAAGAAGGTGCTTACTTTCATTTTAATCCTTAATAGGATTTCTGTTGACCAAAGTCCTCTGAGGTCTTTCACCTGCAAAAGCCGGTTTACTCCACTTTTGTCTAAAGGAGTGTGTGGAGTTGAGTCTGGGGCACCTGCAGCCAAGCCCCCGCACTTGGGCCTTGCCCTGCTTCTCCCAGATGCCAGTTCTGGTTGCAATAAAGGAAGTCATCCGCTTGGGAAGGCTCACATTCTCCTAAGGGGCGTCAGGGTTCATTTTCGCTGGTGACCTAAAACATTGAAGCTGGAAACAGTGTACTTATATTTGGATCACACTTGGTATTGCCACCAAATTCCTAATAGCACGTGTATTTCTGCTATTAGCAGTCCTGACTAGGAAGAAAGGTATATTTTCAGTAGTTTCTAAAAAAACTGTATTGAAAGTGTTCAACAAGGCCCTGGATTACAGTAGGCGGGAAAGCGGAATAAAACCTATTTGGGGGCATATTTCAAAGTACTTAGTGTAAATGCAAGAAGCGTGTTTTCTTTTGTGGTTGTAGTTAGTTTAATATCAAATGTGAGATGTTTAGAAATGCCTTATACCTGCCGATGTTACAGGAGAGTATTTAGGTCTAGTTTCAAAGCAAGTCTTTCTTTGGCATAGCTTTTTTTTTTGTATATGTTGTTTTGCACTCTTTTTCTTAAATTAGCAAAGCTAAAACTCTTTTTTGAGATGTCTAGGAGTTGATATATGTTTAAATAATTTGTATTTTCAGAAGTGATTTCTATTTTGATTCTTTCAATATTCTCTAGTCAATTATTTTTGCTTAGGAAGAAAAAAATGAAAGGCACCAGGGAATTGCAATCTATTTTCTATGCAAATGTAGAGTGGAAAATGGTTATTAGGATTAGCCAGGACTTCAGTTCTGGCTTATTTTAATCCATGTATTTACGTACATTCTAAGTCTCATGAATATCTGTTATTAAATATATATCATATTATTAATATGTAGATGGAGTTTACACATAAAGCCTTTTTCACTTAACAGCACGTTTTGTTTATTATTGGTTTTATGGCTGAAATATTAATGTGAACTGGAGATCTGCCACTTGTTTGTATAACTCACGCACAGTGGCGTACGTGCAAATAAACTCTTACTGGTAATGTCCATCGTTCTTCGTGTGCGTCGTATAGAAAACCTAGATTAGATAGTCAGTAATGGCATCAGGATGAATAGAATGAATTGAATTTGAGAAAAAGGGAGGATCAGCGTTTTCATTATTTCAAAGTGCTAAAAATGCTTATTTTAAGATTTAAGCTAATTTTCAAGCAATCACATAAATGATTATTTTAGCATTGCATGGTAGAGTAACACAAAGCACTACCCACGTGATACCAATCAACGTAACGGACTGTTAGAATAAATATAATTAATGGAACAAGCTCACTGAACAAAGAAATACAGCAATCAGTAGAAATCACAGTGTATGAAACTAAACTGCACTGCCAATGTAAAACTTTAGCAGTATGGTAGGTTAATTTTTAGTTTTTTAAGAATTAATAATTTATAAAAACCTTAAGTAGGAAAATAACAGAAATTATCAGAGTAAAAATATGTCTCAGGCCAACCTCAGTTGTTCTGGAAGTCGTCTTTTACTATGTAGAGATGCAGTTCCTAACCGAGTGCTCCTTTATTAAGTAAATCCACTGAATTTTCCCTGTACTTAGTTGTTACTTAGTTGTAACCAAAGCTCAGACTGTCCCGGAGCAATCCCAATCCTGCTCTAATGTCCCTGGCTGGCCACTGTAGTTCTTCATTTAACAAGTTCTTGCAGAAGCCGCTTTCTAATGATCAGTTCTCTGTTAGGGATAATATTAGGAAATATAGATAGTTTGCTACCTGTCTTTCCTGCTAATTAATGCAGCTATATGGCTAAGCGAAAAACAGCAACAAAATTATAGGATGCGGGGCATGACCACTGACTAGAAATTCTTACTTCCCTGGCCTAATCAGTGACACAAGAGGGAAAAGCAAGCAAAAGAGAGGCTTTAAGGTATGTAAAGTCTGGAAGATCCCGTACTACTCATTGTCAGTAGTAGTGTTTTCTTCTGTAAGAGAAAACAAAATTGAGTATTTTGCCTCCATGTCTTTTTTTCCTTAAAACTTGAAAAACTGTATAGAGATTCTTAAAAGTCTAAACTCAGGTTGGAATAATTCTGTTGTAATGAATGGGATTCTAGAAATATCTTTAAACAGTGTCGGTTGGTATTGGTAATTTCTTGTGGAGTGGAAATTATGCCGTGAAAAACCTGTCTAGTCTCTGGCCAGGAGGGCAATCAGTAGTTCAGCCAGCGGGCTGCGGACGGACAAGCAGCCTGACCCAGACAGCGGCCTGCTATGAGCGTATGCCGAGGACAGTCGCTTCTGTTTCACCCCAGCAGTCCTACATGACTGTCACGTTGTTATGAACAAGTCACTTATTTGCAGTCCAAAAAACAGTAGAAGTTCAGTGACATGATTGGAAATAAATATGGACGATTTTTAGTCCTGCATGTACAGGGTAAGGTGTTTTAAATTAGCAAAGCTAAAACTCTTACTCTATACTATTTATAGTATAAAGTTTGAAATTTGAAGTTTCGATGCACCAAAAAAGGCTTTTTAACATTTGAGACCGATATATTTTAGGTCAACTTTTATACTTGTTCTTGAGTCTTCTTCTCTCCTTTGCCCTCCTGAAACACTTGAAGGAGGCAAATGCATTTGCCTTTCAGAGCCTCGTTCAGAATGTTTTCTGTCCAGGGAATTTTTTTCAGGATGTGAACTAAAAATGAAAAATATTTTTTGTCATTAGCCTGAAGCAGGGATTAAGTCTTGGAGTTTTGTGGTCCTTTTATCTTAAGACAACAGATTTTTTTTTTTTAATGAAAGAACGGGAAGGATTGAATATATCTTTGAAAATGTTGGAGGTGGGAATACATAGTCAGTTGCATTTCTGTTTTCTAAACATTTTATTTTCAAGTTAAGTGAATTTTTGCATGGCCTGCTAATGGTCAAATCATCAGACCAGTGAAGAAGCTTTATTTTCTTACTGACTTCATTGACATTTGACAAAAGAATAATATTGAGATAGCATTGGAGGAGATAATGTCATGAGCCTCCCTGCTCTGGAAGGGGGTGAGGATCAGGGTTTCATTTGCTGTTCACTGTGCTGTGGGTGACATCTCTAAACACGAGGGAAAATTCTGCAGGGCAGTGCAGGCGGTGAGAACATGCTCCTTAGACGGCAGGAAGGAAGGGAACCTAACAAAGCCGTGACTGGAGGTAAAATGTTCTCTTAGCTGCTGCTGCGAAAAGTAATCAAGAGCAAAACTGGCAGCACCAAATGCCTATTTAAACAACTGCTTTTGATACACAGTGAATTTTGTCTTTAAAAGGCCTTCCTGCAATTGGCAGCCCCAGAATTCAGATGTCTGGGAAAATAAAGAGTAAGTAAAAATGGGAAATTAGTAACAATGGTTGAGATAAGTAGCTGTGCAAAATGAGGCCTGCGGAGTGAGAGAAAAATGCAGTTGTTTTCTTCTGATGCGCAGAAGAGTTGTACTACTTTATAACTCTTAATTATTTTCATACTTGTGATAATTTGTCATTCTAATTAGTTGGTAAATAAAATCTTGTTAAAATACAATTCCCCTGATCTACATTTAATAGATGCAAATACAATTGCTAATGAATATTTCTGGATATGGTCTTGCGATTACTGAAAGCATTTGCAAATTCTAGCCACCATTAAATGGTGTGATTGTTGACAGTTTTTGTTGACTTAAGGCCCAGAAGTTGCTGGTTGGGAATGGGGTGACATGGGGGTAAGCACAGGGTCAGTGTAACGTCAGCTCTGAAATCTGGTGCCAGTCAAAATTTGTAAAATACCAAGGTTATAGTTATAAAAATATTTTTATCCAGTATATCCAGAGCACTTTGTCGAGATTCTAGTTGGAAACAAGCATATGTCCCAGTTTTTGCAGGAAGAACTGAATTTGGACGGAGGAGTGGTTTGTGTGAAGTCACTGGGGGGAGTCTTTATTTATAGTTTAATTGCTTGGGCTTCACTTCTAATGACCTTAAAAATATATTCCTTTTCTGTATTGGCTTATAATAAAATTTTACCCAATAGGGTAAGTATTAGAAGATAAGAGAAATTTGAGAATCATTCAAATCACCCTTTTGGCCCTGGCTGGGGTGGCTCTGTGGATTGAACACTGGCCTATGAACCTAAAGGTTGCTGGTTCCATTCCTGGTCATGGCACTTGCCTGGGTTGCAGGCCAGGTCCCCAGTTGGGGGTATGTGAGAAGCAACCGATCGATGTTTCTCTCCCTCTTTCTCCCTCCCCTTCCCTCTCTAAAAATAAATTAATTAAATATTAAGAATTTTAAAAAAACTCTTTTGGTAATCAGAATCAGTGAATGTGAATATTTAATAAACTAAGAATATCTTTTATACTCCCTAAGGAGAAAGGGGCAAATCAGTATAAAACAGACTCAAATCAAGTATTATTGAAAACTCACCTTCCAGGTATCTCTTGAAATTAACACCTATTCATCCTACTTT